TCACTTGGCTGCTAGATCGGAGCTGGATAACGACTTCCTTAAAGTTGTACTGACATCTTTATTCACCGTGATGTCAAAGTGGCGCTCAACTGCCATCCAACACTCGACCACCACGCAAATGAGTTGCCGAAGTTTGAGACATATTTCACAGATCCCGAAGCTCTCATATACGCGTCCAACGATCTGTTATATCAACCAGCATTCCAGCTGTACATTTCGAGTCCACCCATTTCCTTCAACTGGACATAAACACATCCGTCCAAGCACCCATCTATTCTTCCGTCCACCCAATAAACCATCTATCTTTTTTTCACGATTGAGGAGGTAGATATATTCACTGGTTCGTAGAATCAACCACTCACTCAGCCGAGGTCCATTTTAGTTACCATCTCATCAAAACTTCCATCCACCGTGGATGGATTTTGGAACAATCACTAAGTCCAAACATTTATTAAACAATGCAGCCGCGAAAAAGGGCAAACCAGTTCGATGCAGATGCCTTGATGTACTTACTTGTCACTTTATTTCATCCACTCACCAAATCAACCGTCTATTGCTTCTACAGATTTTCAGTCACCGTTCCATGTGTTTATATACCGTCCACATTTTTACGGCCTAAGAAACCAAATCTTCCATTTCACAAATCTATTTCACCTTCCAGTGGATTGACTGTATATGTAGCTAAGCTTTTGGTTAGAAAAATTTGTTGAATGACATCCGAAAATCAGTCGCCCACCGACAAGATGACTTGAGCTAAAGGCCCGACCAGCAGACGAAACCTTCATTCTAAATCAAACAAACTATTAAATGAATGCACCAAGTGAGCAATTCGAAAGACTAGAGGACTGTCATTGCAACCAAACGTTTGGCACCATCCATCCATCCTGTATCCATCCATCCATCCATCCATCCATCCTGTATCCATCCATCCATCCTGTATCCATCCATCCATTTATTCACACATCGCGTATGCGTCTATTCACTGCTTTTTCCTGGGTCCTAAGTACCCTTCTTTATCGTGTCTTTTCTTTCTAGATCGACTCACTCACCCTTACCAATTTCGTTAGTTCCTTAGTATATTTTTCGAATCTACTAATACATTCCAATCATCGGACTACATATCCTCTTTGTATTTTAGATCTAATCTGTGAATCCTTTGCCTCTTCATCCAAACTCTGGTAATCCATTATGAATCCGCTCCATAACAAAGCCTTTTCCTTTTAAATGCACAGAACTGGATAAATGAGAGAGGAGATTAAGGCGAGGAGTTGGAATCCTGCAGCTACTGCTCTGTTTCTGTATCCATCCGCCCTTATTGCAAATCATCCACTGATCTCGACTTCATCATTAACACACTCATCAACCTATCCGTTCCGGCTTCATCCATCTGTCATTGAATCCATCCCTCCGTTCACGGTCAAGAAGCTCTCACAGTTCTACATTTTCAGCCTTCGTGTTTTTAATACGCAGAAGTAGGGCAGTGGGGGAAAAGCAGCTGATGTGAAGTGCTTAGAAAAGCACACGTACACATAAACGAGGGGAGAAGGAAGGAGAGAGACGGAGAAACAAGATGGAGGGAGGGGAAATAGTACTTCCTGGACAAATTCTGTGCACATTTGACAATTGTAGAAATGCAACTGATAGAGAGGGGACAGGCCGGGGACGTGGAGGCGAGTCTGTAAAAATACACACACGAGGATCAGCTGAGCTACGCTGTTCAGGAGTCGTGTCGGGCGCGCAGCGCCGACCGAGTAACCGGAGGGGTGGGTCCAGGTCGCGAAATCGTCGGCGATTTCGACGTGGACGGCTGTTGGGGCTGATCCTGCGCCTCGAGAGTACGCACGATGCGCAGGATGGACTCTGAGCCGGCTGTTTCGACACCGCGCGCGAGGGAGAGGAATGAGAGGAGTTTGGCTAGCATAATGGCTAGTGGACGGAATTTTCCAGGTTCAGGGAGACGTGAGCGGATGCGCTCAGCATACCGAGGACTGGATTGTAGGATGCAACCGAGGAGAAGAGCTATAGGGAGAGAAAAGAGAAGAAAAATATAGACTTGTGGGGATGTATGCATGCCCACGCGCTGGATGTCCTCGCTCAAGGCAGCCGATCTAATCGAAGCGCTCGAGACGAGGAGACGGCCGCGTAGAGCTGAACGATCGGCAACAGCCGAACGCATGAGCATGCTTAATTTGGTTGGTTCTTAATCAATGTCTGACAAAATTTAATGCTTATGTATGGATTAGCTGTGGTCTAGTCGCAGGTGGTCACATTTGGCCATGCACATCTGCATGCAAATCAATGGTGTTCCAAGCCTGTTTCGTAAGCACCATTGGCTTTCCTTACTGTGGTTAAGCGCTCGCGGCATACAAGGTGAACGGAGAATTCATTCACCCGGACGTTTGTCCATCTCAGATCCGTCTGACCGACCGTCCTCGATTCATAGATCCAGCCATTCATTCACGTAATCGTCTGTTAATCGGTCCAAGCAACCAACCAGCCAATTAACCGCCTACCCATACGGCCAATCCCCTTTCAGCCAGTTATACATCCATCCATCAAGATACTGATCAAATTATCTAACTTTCTGATTGAAGAATGCAATCCAATTCATCCATTTATCCTTTGAACTATTTAGTCATTCACTCAGCCTTCCCTAGATTCATCAGTTCCACCTATCTTTATTCCAACAGTCAAGAGGCCAAACAATTTGCCCAAAGCCCTGGTGGAAGTACGAAACTGAAGGATGAGTCTACTTTAAGATGTCAGAACATTCAATCACTAATCCATTCCTTAAGGTCATCGTCAACCATCCATACCACCTGTCATCCTCCCCATTCGGCAGTCTATTTAACTATCCATGCGTAAGTCGAAACAACCGTCTATCCATCCATTCATTCATCGACGCACTCACTCCTCCTGCCCAATTTATCATCCTTCCATTCATCATTCAAGAAAGTCATCCATCCATCCATCCGCACATTCATCTCCCCTTTTACTAAACCAAACAGCCATGGATAAATGCATACATCTTATCAGCTGGCTATTGAAACACCGACCGACCAACTGGAGTGAAGACTCCAAAACTGGAAGAGAACCAACACAAGTACAAAGAAAATTGGCATACCGGCATAGGCCGCAACCACGGAGTCTTCCATATGCTGATTGGCAGAGGACATGCGTTCCTTCAACTTCTCTTGTTCCTCTTGCGTCTCCGCAACAAATTCCACATCAGCTCCTCCACACAACTCGTCGTCCTCATCATACTCATCTTCTTCTTCACTTCCTTTTAAGGGAAGAACAAATAACTGGTGAAATCAGCTCGTTAAAATTGAGGAACAAAAAAGTGGAAAACGACATCTCTCACCATCACTACCCTCGTCCTCGTCACTGCACATCTCATCCTCATCTTCCTCTTCCTCGTCTTCTTCATCCTCCTCCTCTTCATCTTCAGAACTCATTCCTCCATCGAGTCTGGCTCTCTTCTCACCACCTCCACGTCGCAACAGGGTTTGACGACGTCGTCTTCGTTTTGCACGCATTCGTGAGCGCTTCAAGGACTCTGAAAATACAGTTGATAGCTAGGAAACGCAGTCTATTTTCAGACAATCAAACCACCACTCACTTGAAGATCGGGAAGCAGCACCGGGTATTGAGGAGTCAGTGCTTCCTCCCCTACCACAACCATGCCTATTTCCACCAACAAGACGCCACTTCAGTCCCGCTTCTTCAATCGTCTCTGTTGCGCTGTCAGTTAATAGGGAGAGAGGTGGTTTTGGTCGCTGAAGAGCTGATGTGGTCGTCGTTGTAGAGTCAGCTTCCTCAGTCTTCTTCTCTCTTCCCTCCACCTCCTCCTCCTCCCGCTCAAACTCGTGCATGAGAGTCTTCTTCTCACGATAGAGGAAGAGCTTCACTACCTCGTCTAATGCTGACACTGTAGGCACGCGTGGAGAGGTGGTCAAGCGCGGAGACCCACTATCGCCCTCCGTTTCGTCGTCCTCGTATCCTACATCGGCTAGACTGACACCCTCGCCATTAGCACCACCACTACCACCACCATCGGTCGAACTCTCTGGACTGCGAACTTCCAGATGAACAACTCGAATTCGATTCTCTGGGCAGTGTTCACAAAGGTTGGCCAGGAGACAGAGGACGAGAATGAGAAGGTCAAATCGTCGGGAAGAGGGTAGACGATCTGGTAGGTGGAAGAGGCAGTCTAGAGTGGCCTCCAGCAGGTCTGGACATCCGCCCAGTCGATCGCTAGCATATTCTGAAAGTTTCATATAGACGATAATAACGTCGGAGCTTGGGAAATCACTATAAAAATATGGAAAAAAAGCAAGGAGGACGAGCGCTTACCACTGTGCGAGACATTTACAAATAGGCGAAATATCGCAAGAAGGCAGGTTAGGAGAGTCTGCTGATCCTGTTGAAACTCCACTTCAGTAGAAGCTGCCGGTTTGACACCTTCAGTGGAGGAGGTGGGAGGTTGGTTCTGTTCCTGCTGACCAGATGTCTTCTCCTCCGACTCCTTCCACAGGAGTTCTGTCCAGGAAACGGAGGGTGGTGCATGACGTGGGAGACGGGAGGCACAGAGACGAATGCACTGGACCAATCGATCGATCAGAACGCGCTCCTTGTAACGCACCAGGTGGGTTTGATTGTCCGGGTTCATGTAGGTCATCTGAAGTGTGAAAAGGAGACATACAGATACAGGATCTTCATGGCTCATGGAGCGATCTGGCTAAACGACAAGAAAGCAGTCCCTAGACAAATCCTAGTTACTTAAAATGCGATGAGCTGGACACTAAACCGCCCTTTCCCCCCTTAATACTGTTTAAACAAACACGAAGACTGATGTAGTGCTTCGTAGAAGCTAATGAACCACTCTAATACCTCCAAGACAGAATTCGATTCGAAAGCTGCTACGATAGGTAAGTAGGACTTCAACTCTTTGCATATGCAGAGCCTTCACAAATCACACTTACATTTTCCAGCATTTTCGCGTAATGTCCGACCCTTTTTAAATTGTCCAACGAGAACTCGTCCAAACCAGTGGGGTTCTTCGCAGTGGAGACAAAGAAGTTAGACCTTCCACCGGGTGCGTCGAAGGTGCAGAGGTCCTTGAGGTAGTCCACAGCATCGATTGTGGCGTCAGCCACACCATCCAGTCCCCCACCAGTACGAATGCCCGCCTTGAACCAGGGCGCGGCTCTGCGTGTGGAGAGATTCAGAATGGCTTCCAGGATCATGTCACGTGCCTGGAATGGGGAAAAAATAGCAGCGCTAGACTAATCTTCTGAGAGCTTTTTAACTGTAATGATTTAGTTACCACACTACTACTCCTACAGCCACGCGTCTACGTGCTTACAAAGAGCCCTCAATTCCAGAAAGCATTGGGGCAACATAGGTAAACCCACTCTAAAAGAAGGACAGCCACATTTTCCGCTGGTGCGATAATACGTAAAAGTGCCATGGAATCCGTGGAGACCCACAATAGAGGCAATACCAAAGTAGCAATGACCTTTGGTAACCATCCTAATACAATGATTTGTGATCCATGATGCTGATAAATGAAAAAAAATGTCTAATAAAGAAAACTTGTATGGAGGATGTGTTTGGTGAATAACAACCTACGACCTTCAAAAGCATGGCTTTCCAAAGAAACCCGCCACCTAAAGTTGTTCACCTGACAGGGAGCGTAATTTATGCGAAGGCTACCAAAATCGACGATATTTACTGATACACTAATTGGGATAATGAATGTTCTCCACGTTCACGGTCTACGAGTGATTCCAAAGCACTGAAAGACTCGTGAAGACCGAAGCAGAAAAGTGACCATAGGGAGCGCCTTTTCAATATTCCGGAATTCAATTGCCAATTTAGCAGTGTGGCATGGAGCTCTGCTGGTACCGTCCAACCCATTCCTACGCTCACCCTTCCCCCAGCCCTTCTCCACGTCGATGACAAAGTGCCTTCCAATCCCTGTAGAGATCACTTACCCTTGACTGCTGCAGTGGTGTTAGCACTTCGACATTAGTCCAACACATAACACATTTTACTGGTAAATCAAATGCTTGCCACCCTTGAATCAATGCATCCATCTGCGATGCATCTATTTGACTGCAACACCTTGGGTGAAAGAGCCACCATAACTGGTAACACAACAAAGTGTACTGGCGAGTGACTGAGGAAAGGAGAGATGAGCAAATGGAAGAATGGGAGCATCTGGGAGGGATGGATGAATGGATGGAGGTAAGTGTAGACGAATAGATCAAATTTTAATGCACTCAAGGGTCCAATTCAACTGGGATGAACACGCGATTTCGTGAACAGATTACCACTAGATAATACATAAGCAGATAGTTGGACGGATGCGTGAGTGGATGGGAAAGTGAGAGAGTAAAGGAATGGGTGAATGTGTCCAAAATAAATCCCTACTTAAGTGAAGCCAAAATGTCCAGGATGGGTGAGTTCGTAGACATATGGCCACATGCACCACAACAACACCCTCACAAACAGCTCTGACACATCACCAACCCACCGTCAATTGTCGATTCATCCGCAAATGCCTGGCGTTCAGAGACACCGTGGTCGAGGAGGAGAACAGAGACGCAACCCCAAGATTTTTGCGCACAAATAGTGCCGCCATTCCAGCCGCCGTACTGTTGCTGCCACTACTACTGTTGCACACTGCCTTTGTCGCAGTGTCCGACGACTTTCGTCCACGCTTCTGTTGGTGTGCGGCTACCGCCTCCAGCAACTGTTGAACCCGGCAGCGTATTTGATTAGCCTCCTTGTTAAGACGCCCCTGTCGAGAAGCCGCACCGATGCTGTATTTCGATGGCATGCTAGCCGAATCCGTAGCCAGTGTGGCATTTTCTGTCATGGCTGTGGGAATAAAAAGATGTGACTTAAATGACTCCTTTTGGATCCCACGCGATTCAGCTTCTGGATGGCCAAGTTACTTCTAAAAAATGTGGCAGGGAAGGGACGAAGGAGGGGCCATGGAAACGTATGGCAAAAAAAACAAACACTTTTCGACGAACGGACAAATCATGCAGAATTTCCCAGTTCCTCTCGATTTTCAATCGTCTAATATAAGCAACTATCAGAAAACGCCATGGGGGGAAGGACAAAATAACTTTTTACGAATACTCGAACATCCAGTACACTTCTACAAAATGTAGCATGGAAGGAAGATAAGTTCATGGACACTCATGCTAAAAAAACTAAACACCTTTTGACAGATGGACGAATAATGTGTAATTCCTCCGCTCCTGTAGATTCTTAATATTTTGCAAGGAAGGATCAAACAACTTCGCAAGCACCTAACTATCAAAGTTACGATCTCACACAACTGCCGCCAATTCATCACTACCCAAAACACGACAGAAGAGGAATGCCTGCTTCACCAATGGTAAGAGGGATGGGTCTAGGAGACGTGGTTAAGGGCGTAGATAGGGGGATGGGGGAGAGGCATAATGAACTCCCACTCACGCCAAACAATATCAAATTTTTCAAATCTATAATATTCAGAGTCAAGGAGCGGGATCATGCAAACCTTCCCAGTCTCTCCCGATATTTCCAACCTTGCCATCGAGCCTTCTAGTCCTCCCTTCCGTACAAGTGACACATGTCCCCAACATCATTGTCAAGCTCAAGTTACACCAACCACTGCTCTTACTCAAAGCACTTTCAGTGTCCCATTTGCCCTTGAGAACGGTGAATGCATTAGAGAGCGTATTCATCACTCCTGTCTGAGCGTGTCGGTGGCCAATCACACTGACCTTGCAACATAATGGACATAATGAGCTCCGCGACCCTAGCCCACTCCGCACAGAAGATAATTCCAACTTCAACGCAAAATGTGTCCACGCCTTGTCAGTGAGTACGCGTGTCTGTGCATGTGTGTGGGTGTGCCGCCAACAAGACTTCATCCCCACTGGCATGTGTACTCAATGCGGCAACCAACCGCCCGCCCTCCCGCCCTTCCTTACAGCCACCATCTATTCACCGTTCTACAAGTGGAATGATTCATTCCACCTTGGTCCTACCCATGTTGGTGTAACGGTTTCAGGTAGCCGACAGCACTCTACACGTCCACCTCATCAATAACCACCACCGCAGCGCATAAAAAAGACAATGCCACGACTACTTTCTGCCAATTTGAAGGGGTCACCAGCAAGACCAATCTGAGAGTTGAGTCCACCTCCCTCCTCCTCACCCCTCCAGTCGTCTCAAAGGAGAAGGAACACCCGCCCCCCTTCCCCCTCCGTCACGCCTCAAACATCTCGACCGCAGCGGCTTTGCATGTGTGCCTATGTTGGTGTATACCTCTATTGGTGCATGTATGTGTGTGTGTGTGTGTGTGGAGAGGACAAATTCACCTCCATTTCCACTGGCACCTCCATCGCCCACTTCGACCGTGCACGAAATGATCAATTCCAAGGTTAACACACTTATTTATTCATGCGACAGATGCACAACCAAGCCTACCAAACACATAATTTGACCACGTGGTGCTGGTTTGAGGTCAGAATTTGGACTCTTGAACTTTTGACCAACATCGAAGAGACGTAGCACATAAACAAGGCCTTATTGCAATCGCCTCATTTTTCAATCAAACAGCAAACGAACAAACAGGCAAAAAAAGTGAGCAAGGGACAAGGAGGCGTTAACAACAGGGGTGGGAGGAAATTCCCACACCACGGTGATACTAGTTTGGAACCACCCACACCGACTACGCCCAACACCTTCCACTCCCCCTCACCCTCACCCTCCTCCCATTCCTCCTAACCACATTCACGTCAAAGTTGATCGACCAATTCCCACTCCAAAGGTGACACAGAAGAATGTCATCCGTGGTGGGCGAACCCGAGATTCACTCCAAGCAGACTCACATCCCAACCTACCAACAACTACATTTTGGCAATTGCTCACCTTCACCTCCCTCCCTCACACTTATTCACGTAGCCAAGACAGCATGTCACGCGACACCTTCGTCCTTTTGGTAAGCAACACAACTGTCTGCATTGCCTCGGTTGAACGACTTACCAAATCCGACGACCGCCTTCCTACCTCCCACTGTTGCAAGAAGGCCAGATCAACTCACTCCAATTCAGCCGTCTGGCCGACACATGTCCAGTGTTCAAACCACCCACCTACCTCATCCATGTCACTACCACCACACCATGCTTCCAGGGGTGGTGAGACGAAGACACGGTTGGACACGTCGACACGCATTCTGTCATCGAAATACGTTCAACGTTACCACACTGAACATACCCACTCCACCATGACTAATGCAGGGAGGGAGGGGGGGGATTGAGAGCATGCAACATGGCATGTGATGTCATTTCTTAGGCGAAACCAACCCATTTACCCATTCACACATCAAGGGTCGAGGTTTGGACACCACGTGGAAGCTATACACCCACCTAACAAATCAAACACACACCACCACCCTGGTCTGTAGGATATAATCAACTGCAGCATCACCTCTAGTCCGTCCACTGCAATTTGAGCCATCAAGGGGCTAGCAACGACAACGTGGGCATGCCCATGGACATAACACAAGTACGAAGGATCAGCTCTCACACAAAACACCCTCACTCATTGACAAGAGTGCCAACACAACCGAACTTCTTTGCATCGAAGACAACCAATGCTGCCGCAAGATAGAATTGAGGAAAAAAAATAGTGACTCATTGGGCAAATGCGCACAAGAAAGTGTTTTCAGAATACCTATACGAATGGTCAAAAACAGGGCAGATGGGCGTGGCAATGAGGAAGTGAATAGGCGAATAGAGACGCACTTTGTGACCCAAGTGTCCTCAGCAGGCGCAAAAAAACAAGGCTCGACTATTGGAGTCGAGGGCGAGTCGAGATTACAATGCTGTAAGATGCTATAACTAGAACTTTCGTGTTTAAATCCTGAAAGCCATTCTAGGCTCTATGAGGAATGTCAGGTTTATAACAAAAAAGCTGCTAGTAAAGTAGAACATCGAAATTTACCATCGTCGATAAAAAAGCCGACGCGAACCGGTCTTACAAATACAGGGAGTAGCGCAGTAGTCTACATCCAGGTACTGGAGACGGTTATCCATTTAATTCCTTACTCAAACTAGCAAAACTCGAGTCTCTCCCATAGAGGGGGGAAAAGTGATACGTAGTACGGGATCATGTGAATTCCTGTCTGTCCTCATTCCGAGACCCTAGAATGGTTGATATGGGGGGCGGTTAAGAGAGTTGCTGAGATGCAAACTCACAATATCGAAGCAATGCTAGTGTTTGCCGATAGGATAAAGGCGACCGGAAATAATTCAAGACAGTTTGCCAGGTTTGTGAGACGATGTAGACCCATTCACTTAACCGAAGAGGAATTAGCCAATTAGCAAGTACCTACGTATTTGTACTTCGCCAGGAGTTATTCATTCACTAAAGCAGTTTGACTAACTTGCCTAAACATGCTTCGAAATGCACGCCTGAAAACAAACGAGTCTGGAAAAGGCGGTGATACCTGCTAGAAGCTTAAAATGAAGGGCAGGAGGAACATTTCACAAATAGGATGAAATAGCCCAATCCAATTCGCCTCATACGTAGCACACGTGACTGGCAAATCGTAAGATCGAAATCTCGCAGTCTAAGCACACAAAACTCTCCTGTTGTTACCTTTTCAGGTGGTAATAAGCACATGGGATATTATGTTCGAAGGCTAGGCCGCCAAGATGGTGGACCTCTTTTAATTACACTACTTTCTATGGCCCCAATAGAGAGATGGACACAATTTAAACACTTATACTTCATTGAGCTGAATAAAACCCAAACGACAATCAAAGCGTTCCAGGAGGGGCTAATCAGACAACCGAAATCAGTAATTACACGTCTGTGTCAGCCATCATAGCAACAGGGTTCCAGACCTCACATTGCAGATTTCGATGGGGTTTCCTGAAGGTAGGTCCAAAAATCGCTAACACCTCCCTAATCGAAGCAGACTTTTGAAATCTACAGATATCACCACACTCCTTCCTCTCTCTATCCCTTTTGGCACTAACCGAGCAAGCTGATCATCTTTTGGTGCACTTTTCCGATGCTAAGCCAAATGGACTGCTTTAAATAGCTCTGAATCTAGCAAATAGAGTGAATGGTAACCACGACTGGCGATAAGGCGTTACATCATGAAGGACTGAATTCGGTGAAAAGAATTGTAGCTGGCGGTTGCCAGCTTTTCGGTAAATGGTTAACTAATGATCTGACTGTCGACTGCGATGATCAGGCGCCACCGTAACACATTATTTAAAATAAATATTTAGTCCGTTGGACCAGACAATCAGTTGCTATATAGCATTTGAGGTTTAGGCTAGTTTGGTCCATCTCATACGTTATACCCTCGTTTTAATTGCTTCGGCTTAAATTTCTGAAAAAAAAATATTGTTCACTCACTGCACTATTTACCACGTCCAAATGTACTATCTCGGCAACGGTGATGGTGGTGAACAACAAAAAAGCCCCCAGAATGAACACTTTTACGGCGAGTCTACTTATTGCACTTGTTAGTAGCATGCATATAATTGTGTTCGATTCTAAAGAGAATATTTAGTAATAATTTAAAATACGCGTCTCGCTGGATTGGATGATCCTCAGTGCTACCAGTGAATAATGAGGGATCAATTTTCCATGCTAATGGCAACTATTTTTTTACTTATTGCGGCAGTTTCCTTCCACCGATCTTCCTCACTTTCACTGCCACGGTCTCAGGGAAAAAACCAAACACCACAATCCGCATCTTACGCCTACTTCACTGTTTTAAACAATTTGTTTGCACCACCCTATGGCGCAACAGGTTAGCGTGAACTGATAAAGAACATGCCGCAGACACGTGGTGCCAATAGCGAACTTATTAAAGACGGTGAGTTGTCAACCAAGTTGTCTCTGAGGTTAGTGTTAAACACAAGACTAGATAAACAAGAAGCATCAGATGATGCAGCATTTAGATGAAGATAACTTGCAATTCCACTAGTGTCATTTAGAAAGTCAAGCAAATAGTAGACTAGAAAACAGATCTATGCGAGGTATCTAAATGGATTTGGCAACTCAAAGTACACACCTTGAACCACCATCTAGATTTGTAAAAAAAAGCGAAACAATAACCCGCATCCAATATAAAAGTCCAAAGAGTAAAATCGCACAGCCAAAATTGATAAAGGTTGCCAGAATTAAAGGACACCGCTCTGTAGACACAAGCTGAATGCCCAGTCAGTGAAAACAGCAGTCCCGGGGAAGGCATCACAAAAGTGCAAAAATGCGGAGCAACCTCTCCAATCGGATCTTTTGGTGGCATCAATCATCTCTGATGTTGTATCCGTAAGTTAATTCTAGCCAAATCATCCTTTACCAATTATAATTCCACTAGCTTTAAGAAGTGTATAAAGGTGCACATTTAGTTACTTGATTAGACAGAAATCCGCGAACATTTGACACGTTTTGACATGTTTTTAAAACTAATCAATAATGACATTTCATGTCAGGATTGCAGTGAGCTTGGTGATAACTTAGCTTGTTCTGGAAGTAAGTAGCTAAAATTCAAGTATTTCTCCATATTTTAAAGATTTCATCACAACAAATGAGCAAAGAGCTTACAATTAGTGAGAAGTACATACTGATGGAGATGATCTTCGCTGAAGTCTTCTACTTCCTTCAATTAGCTGTCTTCCTCTACCTCATTCGGCGTTGGTACCGCGGTGATGAGGCAGTGAGGGTGAAACTCAAGGTGCCTGAAAAGAGGGATACTTTATTGCGACACGATTGGGTAAGTATCCTTACTAATTACTACCTGGATAACAGTAAGTACTTGGGAACAGGTGTGTTTTTGCGCCTTTTTAGGCAATTTCCAGCCTGCCTGTGTTTGATGCTAGGACTGGCAAACCCGAAGGGAATCCAGCCACAGGACGAATGTGTAGGCACATTTATTTTTTTAGGTTGCGTAAATCACTTCTACTGAGATAAAGGCAAGTAGACGTACTGTAGTAAGGTATATGGAGGTTGTTTTATCAATTCGAGTACCGACCTCCTACTAAAGTAAGCGCTTATAAGGGCAAAGACAAAAGTGACCCCCCAAGATAGAGTAACGATACGTTCAAACTATCCATTTCTGTCCTCAAGTTCCGAGAATTTCACTTGTAAAAGCCAAAAAAGGATAATTTGCCTTAAGAACCTGAGTAACCACTTTCAATAATTACACCTTCAGTTTAAATTGCTATCTCAGTGGACCTTCTACATATGGCTCAATATCCCATAAAGCCGTAGGCATCAGCAAGTCCTTAATATCGCGGATACGATCGGTGCTAATTGTCTTAACGATACCGAAAGACCAGGAGTCTGAGAAATTCGAAGCGGAATAGCTCTCGCAGCTCAAAGCGAGGCCTTTCCAAGACTCACTGACTTATTCCCAAACTTCGGTTGAAAGTTCAAGATGCGTCTAACATCTATAAGACCCAACTGTCAACCAACAAAAGCAGTTTAAACATAGAATGCTGGCTCATTTCCGGACAGCTTCACAAAGGAACACTTAGGCGACAGATACTTAAGATTAAGCTAGCACTTAAGCGGCTTGTGCTTTGTAAGAGTACTAGTCTTAACGAATTAAAAATAAACCAACCAAACTAGTTGACTGAAATAAAGATTTTGACAACCTTACTTCAGATAGTCACACAATACGGACGGATTCCTCCCCACTTAAACAGCGGGTTTCTTCCCTTAATACCCCCCAAAAGAAGGCGGATTCACCTGCTTTGACAAGGTCTCCATCGGGCACCAGGCTGAATCCACCCAAAGCGTGGTTCACCAATTACAATAACCAAAGTGCAAACGAAATTTTAGAGGGTTTTATGAGCTTGGAACAATGCGAAATCAGTAAGTTCTTGCATAAAGTATCAAAAAAATATAAGGAGGGCGCTTGGTTAATCGATTTGAGGAATATTCATGGGACCTTTTGCTTCTAAACACCTCAAGAAAAATGAAAAAGTGATAAGAAATGGAGTGAGTAAAAATACATGAGAAAGAAACTAACAGAAAACGCGCATCTTAACAAACTCATTACGACTTATTCAGCACCAACGGTCAAACTGAGCGACCTCAGCATCGGATCCGAGCTATCTGTTAGACGCCGGAAGAGAGAGGGGCTCGCCAAGCGCCCGCCCGGCGAGACATCGGACCAACACAATTTGCACAATGCGCCGAGTTCGTTAGGCATTCATAATGAAGAGTGGCTGTAAATGTAGGAATAAAAATTGAAATCCAAAACCCAAAAAAGGGTTTCGGGAAGTCCGACTGAGAAAACTGCGAGTGTCCATTAGGGATTGTGAATATTTGGCAGAATTGCATTATAGCAAAACTGTAGGCATACATCGTATGAGATCAAAAGGAAAGTTTGAAATTGATAGTACCAAATGAATTGGAACATATCCCAGATACATCGACTGTTCTTTTTGGTGTAAGATTCCGTGTTGCCTCTACTACAATTAGTTTAAGCGTAGCTAAATTAAAGATCAATGAAATTTAGAGTATTAGAGTGCTTTCAAATGAGCAGGAAATAATGCCAGGCAGAGCTTGATAATCCAACGATTGATAGCACAATGGCTTCCGTAACAGGTCTTTGCGAATAAATAGATTTAAGGTATTGCCCCTGCCACCTTCACTGTACAGCAATTTGATATTATAAATGATTTCTTACCACTAGACAAATTGTGGCTGGGGTCAACAGTGTTTCAAAGCATATGTGACCTTTTTAAGAAACACGGTTGACAACACTAGAACAAAACCGTTTTGAAGAGTTAGCTTGAATTTTCAAAAATATCCAAATACAATAGGGATAATGGGCCAGCACAAAAGCTCTGCGTTTAGACAAGCGTGGTAGCACATTTTGTCTTAAAGCCCGTTGAATGGGGACACCTGTGCATTTTTATTTAAACTTTTTGTCATGCAGTTAAAGCAGAGTTTTCAGATTTATTAAAATGTGGCTATGATTGGTTAGGAAGTGGCCAATCGCAACGGGAAAATATCCCGCGGTGTTTGGTATGAGTGAAAGTCATTAAATCATAAGCATTTCCCACTTGATGAGTTTTTTAAATATCCGCTATCCAACCGGTCATTTGGAGGTTTTCCCAGTCAAGGCTCAGGCGCCCTTAATAAAGGTAATCTAACTCCTTTGACACACGGTTTCAGGTTTTTGAGGCAGCATGCGCTAAGAGATCGTTGGATCCAAAGGCACACAAATTAGTGTAAGTATTTAAGATGCGGCATGCACATGTCGACGTCCTGTTTTAAACTACTGGCTTTTTATTGGTCTATAAAAGGCACAAGAGGAGAACTGTCGATTTGAGTCTTCCTTTCCAATACTCCGGTTTGACCAACCGCGCTACATTAGAGCTAGTGGCCTACGAGGAAGGAGAAGCAATGCCAATCCCCTCAACAAGCACTGTTCGCATCGGAATTCGTCTTGAAGACAGCCACAGGGTTGAGTGGAGTGGATGCTCAAGTTCTTCAATTTGGAGCATCCTGGAGACACTTGCCTCCCAAGACAAAAGGTGTGTTCCTGGTCCCTTTTAAAAGGATTGCCTTTTTTGTCTCATCACTCTAATTATTCTTTTGCCTAAGGATCGCTGCACTTCTCACACCAACAGCTGATGGCCTTGTACCGACCGTGATATATCTACAAAATCAGGTGGGTTGTAGGTTTGGATATATATCCAAATTTTTCTTTATTAGATTGGTGGAGAAGCGTCACTTCGTGATACAACACTCGATAGTTTGGGGATTCGAGGTTCCGCTCTCTTTCAACTGCATAGTGGACCACCCCAACCTGTCAAAAGCGTTGCGAAAGGTTCCCCACATGTTCCATCTCTCCCTGGTACGTTTTTTGATCAAATTTTGATAAAGTGGAACAAACGTAACTTTTCACTAGCGAGTCCATTGAGTCTCTTGCAGCCTTGGCCATGATCCAAGTAATAGTGTACTTATTTTTTGATTCTTAGACTGAGATTGTTTCTCAGTTAATTACACTCGGATAAGGAAATGGGCTTTTGCTGGCGAATCCTTTTTAGTCGAAGAATCACTATTTTATTTTATTACTGAAATGCTTAAAGTTGTTCTGCTATGATTCGATGGCCTATTAATTAGTGATATATGTTTTAACTTATCTTGACATCAATAAAAGTTGGATTCTCTCTCTGATAATGTTTCACTTTATAGAGTTGCATTATCATTGCTTTTCAAAGCGCAAGTTAGGATTTTCAACTATTTTTCGTAGCTTCTATAAACAATGATGTACTTAACAAGCTAAGGTGTAGCTCATCAGATTCTAACTACTTTTATCGTAAAAGTGACGTATAACTGACTCAAAACGAGACTGTGGTGCTGGATGGTAGTGAGGATCTGAAGGCTTTTGCAGTGAAAAGATTTGCCCATTTATTCATCCACCTATTCGTCCACCCATCCTCCTAAAACTGCCTACGGATTGGCGAATAGACATAATGAGTACGCAAATAATCACCACGACTTTGTTTGACACGGCCAATTTATCGACTAATCTTCTCTTCGGTCTGGCTTGAAAATCGGGAGTCATAATGCCAGCTAATGCACTATTTCATTCTTGGGTTTCCACTAGGAGGGCATTGATATCGGTGAAATGTAAATGAATGATCTGTTTTCAGCTGGTGCATCTTCACCGACTACTGGAACAGAGCAGCCCTCGGGAAGTCCATCGTCTCCCGGGAAGAAACCACCACACTCACCAGCCTCACAGCACTCGTCCCCATCAGCGTCAGTAGCGGGAACGCGTCAACTAACTTGCGAGCAGCATTTGTCTCAGGGCGAGTCCACTTTTATGTCTCCAAGTGGCAGTAGTAGTGGCGGCGCTGGTACCTCTGACAGTTCTTCGCCTCCTGCTAAGAAACCACCACCGCCACCAGCCTCACAACATCAATCTCCACCGGCGCCAGTAGCGGGAACGAGCCAACCGCCCTACAAGCAACATTTGCCTCAGGGAGAGTCCGCTTCCATCATATTTCCAAGTGGTAGCGGTAGCACTGCTGGTGCTGGTACCTCCCCCACACTGGAACCATTCTCCATATTTACTTCTGCATCGTCCAGATCCCTATTCGATCCGGATGAGTCAGCACGAGAACATCCTAAAAAGGTACACGCTTGGATGCTCCTTTCTTGATTAAAAGTGGTATAAAAGCCGATTGTTCTATATTACTTGGCTCTTTGTAGAAAATCTTTCTCGGTTCATTTGACAGAGTTAAAATTGTTGGTCCACATGATCATAGAAATTCATTGAACAATCAGTAATCCGATTTGGTGAATATTTTAGGAATGAGGGTTGTTTACCACGATTTTTAAGCATGGTAAAGACATGCGTAGATCTACACATCCCTCTTCCCATCATGCCACCAGAAAAGTAGAAGTTAGGTGATTTCGTCTATTTTCTTCTTCCTTGCATATTTATGCATGTTTTTTCGACAAGAAGAAACTCATTAAAATTTGTTGGTTAGCCAGGGGCCAGGAGGTGTCTTCAAAAGCAATCTAAAACGGATCTTTTCCTCTGAACAGAAATATCCTCGAGACATTATTGCAAAGTTTGAGGAATAATCGAGTGGAAATCGCGATAGAGGGGTCATGATTGCTACTCATTCCTTGTCCGCATGATCTAAGAGTCTGATTGGACAGTTAGATCGTTGACTGTGATTGGTTAATGGAACGACTGACTGATGGCAATTGTTGTGGCCACTAAGAAAATATGTCATCGAGATGACCCATGCCCTTTCTTCAGCTGAGTAAACAGACAGTCATTTTAACGAAATGAGTTTATTTCCTTTTTTGCATACTTCTAAATAGATTTTCGGTCTTTGGGCTCAAAAAAACTGACAATCCGATTGTTCTTCATTACCTTTCTTATTCCTTCAAGACTAGTGAATAGTTGGGGAAATTAGCGTTTTTGTTTGGTCTTTGGTGAGATTTTATTTCCTCGCAGAAAACATGTCATTTCGCAATCAAAAATATAAAAAGTGGGTGATGTATTGTTCATCTACCTACCTTGAAGCACTACGGAAGCGCTAAGGATTATTTAAAGTGTTTTCCATTGACTCACTTTAAAAAGCATTAGAGCTCAAGTCTAATATGTCAACACTTTTTGGCCTTTCATTTTTTTCATGAATGTGGTTCTTGGACCAATTTCAAGGCATTTTTGTAGCATTACTTTTGAATTTGACGTTGCGGGGATGGTTCTTTTATCTACAACATTTTGGCCACAAATTCCTTATTTTCTCCACCAAAACCATACTTTTTCGAGCTGTTTTATACCTATGAGAAAGTTTTGCTGTTACAGGAGGGTTACTGTTTCTAAAGAACCGAAACATGGAAAATTGCAAAGGCGGACGATCGCGTAGCAGGAAAATATCTTGTGTGGACGACCAGTGGTTGGTCATGTCCATTGCCATTGCCAAAACCTACTTAAAACAGGTCATTATTAGTTCCCAATCTGTTTCTGGGACATAGCTGAACCATCATCGACGCAATTGATCACGATTTGGTGGATAATGCGATGCTATTGAATCACTACCAGAGGTTTTCCTACAGCAGTGCCTCCTTTTATTGTTATGCCGCTCGCTCATCTACCTAAGCTAATTCTTAAGGTTTTTTTTTGAGAAAGAAAGACGAAGTTTCGGGTTTACGACCGAAAGGGGTAATTTGGAATCCCTTTTATTCTCATTTTAGTCACCAACAGTGGGTGAGATGATTGGGGTCAGTTTGGAGCCCGATGTGGCAACTTCTTCCCAACAAGGCGCCATGCGGGAACACATTCCCAAGTTCAAGGTGAGATCTATCAGTAAATTTCTCACCCACTTATTCATTCAATCCTTTCGGTTCCATTCATTCTTTTAGCACTTCATTCACTCAATCCCTTATTCATCATCTATCTATTCCTCCGTCCATTCATCCATTCGCTTTATTTAAAACTGCTAGTCATCTTCATTCCTTATTACCCTTAGTTTCCCACCGAGACAGAGGGCCGAAATCTCCTGCATCCGGAAGAAGCGTAAGCTAATTTGTTTCCCTTTTATCTAAAAGTTATTTTTATTTGACTTCATGTCTCACAATCTCTTCCAGAATAAGAAGTAACATGACGTTATTGCCTTAATGGCGAGACGATCTAATATAGACGCGCTGAATAGTAGCTCACATCCCTCAACCATTTTTCTGTAAGGAATTCCCTGAAATCGCCCCTTGGATCCTTCACAATATATGCGGCTTCAACTAAATACAATGGTCAAATGGTCGTTCAACGCACACCTCATGAGTTCAATCATCCTGTGTGACTCATCTCTTAGGTGTTTTTACAGCGGAATTAGCCCATATAACCTTGCCAAAATCCCCTCAAGTTTGTCCATCATCAACTCCAACTTTGAACAGAATTGAATGCCTTCCTTAATTTAACTAATATTTTTGTTGTAGAGGTGGAAGTGCCGAGATGACAAGTGGCGCCTGTGAACGGGAAGAAGTGCTTTTCCGAAGACAAACCTCCGTCTCACACGACACGGAGTCGGGTAAGTTTTTTGTCCACCTTACAGCCGTCAGTACGCATTTTCTATCCAACCCGTTAAGTAACTCTAATGAAAACCACTTTTTGCTCTCGTAGAAGAACTACCTGATGAGTACTTTCAACTCACGGAACGTGAACTGCGTCTCATCATATCCGATCTACGGAAGGAAGCGTGAGTTTGACTTTCCTGGTGGTTTAAGTCATATATTGAAGCCGTTATCGGGTATAAGAATCCAGAAGCAGCTCCACTATCAACCTACAGAGGAGCTGAAAGACGTGTGGCAGAGTTCCATGCCACCGTCATGGTGGCTGAATCTTGGAATGCCGAAATGAGCCCCGTGGTATAGTTACGGTTCAAGCATCTAGCCGCATTTGACTATGACAGTCCTCCTCGGTGCTGCCAGTGAGAAGTAGCGTGCCTCACTTGTCACTAAATTCTTTTCGATCCTCATTTGGCTCATGTCTCCCAGTCAACTTACCGACTCATTCTTGATTCAACGTAGTTTTATCAAGTTATGGAATATGAAATCGAGGCAGTTACCAAGCCTTGGATGTAGTCTACTTAGCCACTCTTTCATAAATTATCCAAATTCCATCTTTCACAATAAATGTACCTCTATCAGAGTAACCGGGAGATCCACCTAGATGTAAGCTACACTGCTTTAGAAGGAGGGCATGCATCCCCTACTTATCCATGGAGGACGTCTGAGGCTTGAAGTAAGTCTGGTGAAAACGTTAGGGTGGTTTGAGAGATTAATAGCGTAGGCTTTTGTGAGGAAAGCTCCACCCATTGACACGACTACTCCATTTTTAGCAGAAGACCCGTTAAGAGGTGGTTGCTCTTTCTTTAACGCTACCGCAACGAGTTCATCCCGTATCCGTCCTGTATCCATCCATCCTGCATACATCCATCCATCCATCCTGCATCCATCCATCTATCCTGTATCCATCCATCCTGTATCCATCCATCCACACACCCTGGATCCATCCATTTCCGATTGATGGGTTTATAGCTATCAGTTGTTTAATTTTAAATCAGTAAATAGTTCCAACATTTTTCATGCTTCGTTATTTCCATTTTTTTCAGCAGAAGACTAGTTCCGGGGTGATTGCTCTTCCTTTAACGCTAGCACAACCAATCTGTCCCACATCATTCAACCATCCACACATCCTTCTCCAACTGATACCTTTATAGCTATTGGTTGTTCAGTTCAGAATTAAAAAATTATTCCAACATTATTCATGCTTCTTTAATTCTCTTTTTTGCCAGAGGTACGGATGTTCTTCTGGGCGAACGCAGTGTTCAAAGGTCCGCAAGATCTGCACTCATTGAGAACTCCCCAAGGTGCATCATTCGATTTACCTGGTCTGATGACATCTGCCTTCAAGCTTGCTTCAGACCTCAAGAACATGGTAGTCAACATTAATAAGCCATTTTTAACATCTCTCGTCTCATCGGCTCATTTTTTTGCCTTTCTTCAGTATCTGCTCTGTATGACTTCATACGAGAAAGACTGGCGAACAGGGATCTATCTTTCCAACTGTGTACGTTTATTACATTCCTTTTTTTTTCAAATTTTAAACTTTGTTATAAAGGGGCTTTATATTCTCTTATCTTTCTTTAATCAAGTCACCACTCCTCCGCGAGTTGTTCTTTCAAACATGGATGAAACTCTCATACAGGTGAGTGGTAGAAGGAAACCCCGCGTGCGAGTCGAATTGCTTTGTGGATCGAAAGGCTACTTCATTATTCTATCTCAGGAGTGAATTAATCAACCTAAGGCAGAGAAACGGTGAAGACGGGTGGAGAGAGAGAGAGGTGGGACTAACTGGTCACAACTGAGTGCGTCATGCGACAACTTGCGTCAGGTGACCAAGACGGATTCTGAGGTTGGGAGCCATAACTCACCGTATGGATTTGTTGTAACCTGTAGAGTCGTTTGAAATGCAGATATGCGTCAGTCTACCGATGTGGTATTCTTCACTCTGCTCTTCACCATCTGTGGGAAGGAAGTCTCCTTCTTCTTCTTCCAGAAGGTTGATGATACCGTGAATTCGCTTAACTGCCAATCAGACAGTGTTTATGCCTCCATCGGGTTTATATGAGTTGCAGCTTCCAATTTTCGTCAGATATTGTTGAGAACCTATCTAGTGGCGCACAAGAGAGGCCTTTCGTGGGAACACTTACCAGACATTATGCAGAGTGCAGGATCGTGGCAGTTGCCGTAAGGTGATGCGTCTTCATAGATTTGCGTCAGTCTGTCGTCGCGGTGGTTTCACTTGTCTTCGCCACCACCTTCCTGTCACTTTGAGCCTCATGAATTGTTGAAATTTTTTCGGCCGAACGATCCTGGCTCTGTTCGACATACTCCGCACAGCCTGAACACGTGGAAGAAGCATTTCTTCTCGGGACACAGGTAGGTCTAGTGAATCAGTTGGGAGAATGACCTAGTGGTAAAGGAGGAGGAGGAGGAGGAGGAGGAGCCTTCCGCCATTTTCTGGATATCGTGAGTAGGTGTGTGATGGAGACACGTTTTCACCAAATCCGACATGGGTTTTTAAAATGAAAATCCCTCAGACGGTTGTCAATGTGTAGACTCGCCTGTTCAAAGATGACTGTACTAATGTGATGGACGCAGAGCCCTCTCCGATTGAATAACAGTTGAGAGGTTAGGTGGAAGGCCTATGGTGGCCTCAAGGTTGAGTAAGGAATGTGCCCGACGGTGTGACATAAGTACAGGCACTTGGGCACTTTTCTTGGACACTTGATTGGTTACCGTTTCTGTGACGGGTATTCAGTGCGGCTGAGATGCGCTTTTGACATTTTGAGTTCAAAAACCCTTCTGCTGCCCCAAAAGGAGGACCCTAGATGCTTTTCTCCCGAGTAAAGATAAATAGAGGTTTATGATTGAAAGAGAAGTTTGTGACTTGTTGATTCCTTCTCAATACTTGGTAGTAAAACAATTTTTTCCTAGCCCGTCTACGAGTTATAAATGGTGTCTGTTTCTTTCCCAGATTGGTAATTCGATAAGTTGGGGGGCGGGGGAGGGACGTCGTATGTGTTTTAGCTTTGAAGGTGGTATTTATTCCACACCTACCGCGTCCCCTGTTTTGGCTTTGCAAAGTAATTCCCTGTTCCTGCTCTTTTGTAGGCACACCTCGTTCCTATGGCTAGAGTTCATATGACCTCGCAAAACGTCTCTTCCAGAGCCAGAGACGGTGGGTTTGTGCTTCAACCTTTTCAATGCGTAAAACAGGCTTTGAGCGCTCAACATTGATGTCTTTTAAGGTCAAAACCAGGCGTTGTAAATAAGCCCCAGAAAGTGTCTTTCATTGGCGGTCCCTAGTCCTTACCAGAAAGGCAATGTGCTCCTATTTTGATGCCTTGCTTTTAGTTCTTCGTGCCGACTTATTGGCAAACATGAAATCAGATGCCGAGGCTGCTGATATCTCAGCTAAATGGTAAGATTTTCCATTCATCCATCCGCCCACCCACCCACTACTCATCCCGTATCTACCTATCCAGGCATCCATGTCATACACATCTATCCATCTCGAACCCATCCACCCATCTACCCTGAACTCATTTATCCATGCTTCCATTCCGTATCCACCTATTCATCCATCTGTCTATGGTGTAGCCATCCACTTTGCTTGAATCGTCCATTTTTTGCTTTGCCCTTACAGGGTGCCCAAATCTCCAAATGCATAAGCGTGCCAAACGGCGAAAAATTGAGTAGCGCCTTCCTTCAATTTTCATTGCATTCGTTTTTCGGCTTTTTTTTGCACTGACTAATAAATTTGGCTATTGTTTTTACGACTTCACGTCTCAAACAGCCCTGGGAGAGAGTGACATGCGATGCTTGCCAGCAGTTGACTTCCTGTTTTTTGGTTCAAGGGCCTCTTTTAACTACGTGATTATGCCAACTCCCGTGAAATTGCTTTGGATGTGAGTCAATGAATTAATTACTGTGCTCCATTGCGCTTGCTTCCTGATAGTCAGAGGATGTTGTGAGGTCTTAGAAGCAGTGCGGCAGTTAGCCTCCAGACGCTGAAAGTGTTAACCAGGTTGTAGATCGAGGGCGTTTTTCGCCCAAAGATCGAGTGTCCCGGTAGGACGGCTTCCTCATCAAGTTTGCACAGCCGCGGGGTTTATGGCAAAATATTCGTGATGATACGACCATTTAGCTCCTCTTATTTGGACTACGTGAACTTCAATGCTTAGAGCGTCGTTGAAAGGCCTGCCAGCATCATTAGTTGGTGTGGAAAGCGGCTCAGGATGAATTACGTCGATGACACAGGAGCGTATTTCCTCGAGCCTCCACTGTGGTCATAATAAGGTCTGCTAATGCAAAACGTCAGGTTTGCTGTTGGTGCACAGCAGGTCCAGCTGACTACGTGCGCGTCCGGAGAGAACAATACCTCGGAGAGATCGAAGAGCCCACGGACGAAGTATAAAGCCATTAAATTGCCCACTTTTGGCCTGGCGGTGGCTCTGATTTTGAGAGTGACGAGTTGACAGCGAGACGGAATAGGTGAGTGACATTGACGAGTTCTCACCTTAGGGAGAAAATGATAAGCTCTAGATCTAGCTGGCCAGGAGTTTTGAATATTGCATTCTGAGGCGGGTGAGTGGGTGGACCCATTTGCGAGGCAGTACTGGACAGTGATTCACACCAAGGCCGCTCTCCATATCAGTCCCCCGTCCATTATTCGACAGATATGGAGGGTCTTGACATCTACAACCACAGATCCCGAAGTTGAGGCTTTGCCAGGGGTAGACGCCGTCTCAACCCTTCGATGTAGTGCGCCTGCAGATGTCTTCCCTCTGCAAAGTTCGGATTGGAGAACCCTCCAGCTTGGTGTCGCCAGGCCTCTCCTGTAGCCGCAACCGAGCATACAAACGTGGAAGACCAGTTCCTCGTTGGTGTACGGGAGTAGGAAATAATCCGCTCTTGGGAACCCTGGTTAGAACTAGCGAATAATAACTTACCTGAACCTGTTGGTCGAGGGCCACTTCGGTTTCTATCTGTTGGTTGTCGAAACTTCAAGGACGGGGATTAAGTCAACGTCAGCCCCCCCCCCCCCCCAGACGGAAGTAGTGAAATAGTGTTTCTGGATTAGGCGATTGAGGTCGACGAAAAAAATGATGTCGGGGTCAAAGGAGATCGTGCTGTGCTTACTTAAGGGGTTTTGCATCCAATGCGACAACCTGAACCAAGAGGGTCGCTTCAATAGGACTCCATCCCCTCCCTCACAGCCTACACACACCAAGACTACGTGATTAGTTGAAGCAAGTTTATTGAAAGAGGCCTCTTCACAAGAAGGTGGAAGATTCTTTATTGTGTTACCAAAAACTCAGGCACGATTAGGAGCGAATACAGGGCACAATTTTAGTGCCCGTGGAAAGACACGGCTGTGGTCCAAACTTCTGATGGAATTGGTAACGCAGATATGCCGAAATCGTTTGGATTAGCAGTTGAACCTGTAGTTGTAAGAGAAAAGTTAGCCTGTTTAACATGAGACAATGACAAGCTTTTCAGTCCTCCACGACGGAGGTGTGGAGCCGTACTCCTACTACCACTGTTACCAGTGCGCCAGACCCGTTGCATACCGCCAATACTGGTGTGGCATGTTTGCTCCACGTCGGAAGCAAAAAAATCAGTCGGCAGACAATCAAAAAGGGCGGGTTTTTCAGGGAAGAGAATAGATAGTTTTCGAGCCTATTGTCATCTGTTAAGACAGGCAACACTCAATTGAGGTGGATGTTAACAAGTTGTTTTGAAGAAGTTAGTCCTGAATGACCTTCATCAAGGAATGAAGGGGCACGGGGCATCCTCGGAACTCATGCATCTATTACCCCTGCAAAACGTTCCCGAGCGGTGCGTCCCACTACCACAGATCGCACCATCCCCAACTCCCCTCAGCATCCACTGAAGCGAGGTAAACCCTATTTACCAAACCGACGTGCTAAGATCAAATCAGGTACCTTAAATTGACATTTCAGGAGGTTCGGAGACAGGAGGAAAAATAATCGGGGCTAATAAAGAGCACCATACCAAAAACTGTACAAATTTTCTGATCGCCTGGTACCTTCACACTCGTGTGTCCGACACCGTCTTTGAGAGCAGCTCGGGCGGTGGGATGTGCACTACACTCTTAAACACCTCGCAAAGAAAACGACAGTTCCATTTGGTGCCTCACAGAAAGCCAACTATTGGATACTACAATAGAAGTAGAGAACCAACTAAACACCAGCCACATTGATAGGTTTCGAATTGATCATTAAAAAACCACCTCAAATTTCAAACACAAGGCAAAACCGAAAATGTAAGCCAGAGGGGGGAATAAAGTAGGGACGAAATTAAGAGGGGCTGCTTCGGGTTGCTTTTAGACAGGGATCTTTGAACAGAAGAGATGATAGCAAGAAATCGCTTCGACGTGGAACATCGTGTAGCCGTAGGTAATGGAACCCACCAAAACCTATCATCGGATTCATTGGAATGGAAAAGCAAGACCCTTGTCAAGAGCTCAGAGAATTGCGGACTTCGTCAGTCTTCAGAAATGTGGACACATGACAAGTGTATACTTTTTCAGGAACAAGATCACCCATGCGATGGGAAATTCTCAGCCTCCCCCATCAAGGAACACTTTGGTGTGCGTCACATTTACCAGCCAGGCAGACAATAAATCCAGTTGGTTTTCACCTACCAAAACGAGCTCCCAGACTAAATCGTGTTAAAACAGAAAAATACATTTTTTTAATTAAAAAAGAGGAAATCTCACCCGCACAATCCCGATGATGAGAGACGCTGAGAAGTAGAAATTTGCATTGGACGTTCCCGTATGAAGCCAGGTTAGGTAGAACAGCGGAGCTAGGATTAAGGCCACTGCTGCTAAGACGGAGAGGATGAATGTGTTCTTAAAATCTACAATGATTAAAAATATCCCTTTCAACTGACAAAGGAGGCAAATGCATTGGACAGGCTGAATTGATGGTTTTGTACCTAGTTATGATAAAGATTGGAGTTCCTATAAGTGGTGAATCAATGTCACGGATAATGAGTGAACGAATGGATAAGCCAAAGACAGAAGGATGGATGGACAAAGGGTTAGTTGAGTCAAAAGCCGTGATATAATTCATTCAAGAGTTTGAATGATGAGTTCCCAAGTTTAGTTCCTGTGGCAGTGTTGTTTCCGGTAGCAATATATAAAAGACAGGAGGAATATTTATCTACGTCTCTCTCAACGAAACCAATTCCGTAGGTTGTCGAGTCGCAGGCTAATTCTCCGACATTGAGCAGTCCTTCTGAGAAATTTCTGACAAAAATGGCTCATTTCATTAAATTGCGAGGTTGTTTTTTGAACAGTCTGAACGAAAAGTCGATCACTCCACCTCAACACTAGTACTACCTCAACATTTAAGTGCTACGACGCGTCACGATTCGTGTAGAGATCTAAGGAGATTGAGTCTCACGACTAAAAGATAGAGTTTTACCTAAACATGAGTGGAATTCCACAGCTGCAACTGGAAGGTAGGTGAATCCGTTTTCTTCTAATTCACCTGCACATTCGCATCTCAAGTTCTAATCTAATGCGTTTGAGTCAGACTAATGAATGCTTCTACTGCTGATAGTCACCTATCAGCTCATTTTTGAAAATAAAACAGCACATTCAACCATTACTACCAAACAACGGACTGTGGGTGAGCACATCCATGAAAGGAAACAGCTTACAGATGAAAATGTGACGCCAGTGCATGAGCAGTGCAAGAGAACAGCCCAGATCGGCGACACTGTTGTAGGGCCTCAGCACACCCGTTGTCATGGTGAGCAGAAGGGCCAGGAAGAGTGGATCCTCGCTGTAAACAAAAAGAGCACAATGAGATAGGCGGTCTTGACGGCTGCGTTGACGGGGATAAAAAAACCCCAACTTTGTCAGTTAATGCGAGGTTAGATAGGCGCCTTTTCATCGAAATACTCCCAGTTGGGAATTTCGAGGAAATCAAGAGTCATGCAATAGATTTTCCAATAATTGTGTATTACATAGACTACTAAAGGACCAAATTTGTAAACTATGAGGGGTTTGCAAGATTTAACTGAATTCCATCACCTAACAGTTCTAATACGAAAACTCTGGAATCAAAAGCAGTCAATGATGAGAAGTATACTCCATTCTTATTGCCAAAACTGCCAACGACGATGATTCCGAGAGTACATTATTTTTAAATGCTCTGGCCAAATTTGCAGCACTTAAAACCAGACGGGAGCTTTATTCAAAATGGTCGAATATCATCAATGACGTGGAACTTGGGGCAACAACACGCCCTAAATGAATGCAAGAATCTGCACCCAAAACACGGAAGTCAATTTTGAGTCCTAGATCGAGAAAGCTGGTCAGGAGAGGCTCAAGGTGTATTTCAGCAGCCACTCCATTCGTGCAAAACAATGACCGAAAGTTTTCGTGGTCAGATCACTCCTAGTTGGGAACTGATATTTGAAACGTCTTTAAGATGGCCTACTAATAGGCATAGGGAGAAAACCAAGGTCGCACTAATATCTGGGGTTGTCGAGAACATTACGGCCTGAAACAACCATAGAGACGGGAGATAAGTCATACCTGGATAATGATAGGGCATGCAAAGACATACAAACCCAACTTAACAATTGACATGCATTGCTTAAAAGCTTCTACCATCACAAAATTAGGATATCCTTTTCAGATCAAGAATGAAAGAGCGAATTAAAGCCATTTAACAAAATAAAGGGGGACAAACATGGGTTAGGCATTAGTTTAAAAATGTGAACTCAAACTTACTAGAACCGGAACAATAGACCAAAACATAGTCCAAATATGATGAGCTGCATTGTCCAAACGAAGAAAACGTTGAAGTGAGCAAACATTTCAACGTACATATACCAGAAAAGCCCCAAATTTGGGGTTGTGTTTCGAGCGTAGATGCTGGAAAAAAACAAGGTGTTAGAATCGATGCTAGAAGAAATAAGTTAAACGGAAATGGGACTGACTTCGAGATGTAGCAGTACCTCAGGAAGCTCCAGCTATTTTCAAAGTAGTATGTCGAGAAAAGAAGACCAGCGAGTGTAAGAGTAAAGGCAATGAGTGATGAGAACACACGAGATTTACACTGAAAGGTAACAAAAGTGAAAATAAATTTTTATTTTGAGACTGAGGACTTACATTTCGACATTGCGCCAGCACAGCAAGCATGAGGTAGCTGGGGTATATGTTTATGTAAGATCCAACGCCGCAGAGAACACTAGCAATTAAAGTTCGGTCTGCAATCGTGAATTAAGACTTGATTTGTAGAAAACAAACCTTTGGCTAATGCAATAAAAATTAGGGCTGTGAGGATGACGGGCACAATTCCGACTGAATGATTGCCAAAGGCGAAAACAGAAAAGGGATTGAAAGCAAATCTAAAAACAAAAAGTCAGCATTCACAGGAGGTTGAACTTGACAACGTACACAAAAACGGATAAGGGATAAGCACATAATGGGATTCGTGCACCAACTTTTACCGAATCGAACGAAAGAAAGACTAAAAATCCCAGACATTCAAGTGCCTAAACTTGCCAATGACGAAAGAGAAGAACTACGGGAAGTATGATTCTTTCGTAGTGGGCGAAATCGAACACTTTCCACAGAACCAAATATAACGGCGGCTAGAAAATACAGTTCAAACAATAGTGCTAACCTGTGCAATTGCGGGAGAGCCGTTTATAACATTTGGGTTGCGGAATATTGTCACTTCCTCTTTTACTAGACGGGATATGAGAATAGAACAGATATTACGGCGTGACCAATCCTCATTCGCGGCATGACCTATACTTTGTAGAACTGGCAAGGGTGCGAAGTTCAGGCACAAAAGCCGAAGCAGAATACCAACAGTAAAGTACTCAACAAAGTACCTTGACATCACTGACACGCCCACACGTTTTATCTCATCTGGTCGCTTTAACAATAGGTATACTAAAACACAATAAAGGGGGTGACAAAACCCTTACTTCATTGTCAAAATCACTTAGCGGAACTCATCACTCATATTATATCTAGTTTAATAGTTGTGTTTTTTTTAACGCTACATTATTTGCGTTTTTTAGTAAATATTAGTATATTGTAGAAGAACTTTTGTCCTCGTTGCGCATGAAATTGTTTGATTATACTACATCTAACCTTCCTAAATATTTTGTGAGCTTACATGTTCATTCCGCTACTATTGCTATTGGACCATCTCAAATCCCTTTGCTGGAAACCTCCTAGGACTAAATTCTAAAAACTCATTTAGCACCCCGGGACTTTCCTGAGGATAAAAAAGCCACAGCACTTGAGCTTAGTAGGTATTCCCAGCTAGGAACAATCGTGGAGCCCCCAATCAGTCGGCCATCAAACCCAAGTGTTAAATAAACAAATAAAGAATTACTCTTGGGTCCAGTGCACGTTTGATGTAAAACAGCTACCACCGTCCCAGTGAAGCTCACCATTCCATTTCACTTATATCTAATTTTCGAGGTCTACCACCAACGCGGTCTCCACCGCTACATCATAACCTGAAGCGGACAGGACCTGCAAACCCCAACCAACACAACACACCATGGGAATTCCTCAGCTGCCTACAGAACAGAGGGCACTACTCACCCCACAGAAAAGTAATAAGGCTCTAGGCAGCCTTGTGGAACAGCCCCAACCTAGAAGTGACATCACCCAATCACGAGGTAAATCGGAACCTGACTACCCTCAGAGCGATAGAATTCTAGAACAACTGCCTAATTTAAAGCCAATACACAGAAATCACAACGCATAACAGTGCAAAAGAGATACAAACATATCTTGGTGAAGGTAGGAAAGTAATCAAGTACAACGGCACCTCAGAAATTGGGCATTCGGTAGGTGACAGCGCCGCCGGACCGACGTTCGAAGGAAGGAAGTTGTGCAACATTCTGGCCCACCAAGGACGTCGTGGGGATAGTAGTGATGTCATTCAACGAATCCCGCTTACCGACACCTTTGTTGCATTTTTTGAAGCGAACGACCTGTGGAATGCCAAATACGGAAGCGATCAACGATGATATAGCTAACAGAACCGCAGTAAGAAGTGCCTGATTTTGTCTCAGAAAGCAGATCAGACGTTCCATGCTTGTCTTTGCCGTGAGGATGTACTATTGACATTATCTTGTGAAATTAGACAGATCGAAACATCAACAAACGAAGTGTCCGCCTAATCAGAATATGACTAGCCATGTAGATCTACTGATTGAGTGAGCGGTCAATCTCTGCCGTATGGTTCCAGGCTTGGATATGATGATGGTACTACATCCATCCGGAGTAAACACTGTACATGGAACAGTCCGCGCACGATTATTTTAGATGGCAGTGATGCTGAACGCAGCCTTCAAACCCGCGTCTCAAACACTAGCGGATATCTGCTGATATCCACGAAGGACTTCAAGAACAATTTTTATGGTACCTTGCTACCGCAATGGAACGGTCAGCCGCAGTAAGACGTGCCGACAGCGTCAACGTAGGCAGCAAAGACGACCATACTTTCGCAAATCAATGAAGATCCCGGCTGCAGTGGTTCCTCCCTCCACACTCACAGACAACAATCGTTTATTGCTGTCAACGAACATTCAGCCAACACACAGGACCCCAATCAGAGAAGCAAAAGTGTGTAGGAGACGAATCTCTCCCTAGGAGGAGTGAGCACAACCCGACTTGATCATTGACGGAGATCTACGATTTCGAGGGGTTTGTGCATATCGCGTACGAGAACGACTCTCCACAGGCGGGAAGGGAGTCTGCCTTAGGATGGTTAAGACCTACTAACCAAACTATCTTATCAGCTAAAAACATGGATTTGTATATAAATGCACCAGAGTCCGCTTCTTAAGGGCCCAGCCTAGTCCAAAACCTCTCAATGGTAAGTGTCTTGACCCACAGGCACCGAGAATATAAGCCGACATACCTGCTGTAGAAAGGTTGAAATTGTCCTGCCATTGTGCGAGTTCTCAGCAAGGCTGTCAGCAGAATTACAGTTCTAAAAGAGAGGAAAAGTTAGCCTAGAGAAAGGCAAAACCACAAAGCCTCCGGTCGGCTTTAACTACAGCCTTGCAAAGGGGAGGATGAGAGACTTGCTCAAACTGCACCCTGCGAATGCCACCGAGACCTTCAATGGAAGGCGTGCTAATGGGTAATGGTCTAAGCCAACCAAAGTCGAAAAATACCGGGAAGATTATGGTAAGGGATTTCATCTCATATAGAAGCCAGACCCAAGTCAAGGATGAGCGCCAAATTTCACAGACGCACATTAAAAAAAGGGCGTTACCAGATGCAATCTTTATGCCGATGACCATACTCACTGCTATAAAACTATTTGTATCTACCCGCCTCATCACGGTGTCTCTTAACGCAGCAAAAAGGTGAGAATAATGAAGACAAACAGTTGAATATTATGCGGGTATCAGAAGGACTGGAAAAACAAACAATAATCGGATTAGAAGGCACACAAACGTCAATATTTTTCTGACAGATATGCGATTGGCATCAGTGCTCTTGAAATTCACCAATTGCACCACCGCCATTAAAGCTGATAACTCTTGTACTATGCGGCTACCTTGAGGAGTCATAGGTTCACTGTGCCTGACTATCGTGTTTTTCTGTGGTTTGTGATGACCAGAGGAGAAATTTACAACTCACGAGAGTGATTTCAGGAAATGCTCGTGAGGCCGCGAACCCCGACAAGGTGGGTAATGTGGACCGACAACCACTAGACCAAGGGGGTACGTAGGAAGTTGAGGAGTAGGTGGAACGTCGCACTTGATCCAACTTCGTCCCTACCACTAGAACCGGGAGAGGCAGTGTTGATAATGACGACTTAAGAGATGGTTGGGGTTGCGGGATGGCCAAGGCCATCATGGTAGAAGAAGACGATGAGATGAGAGCCTGAATGGGCGATTTCACACCAATGTTAAGTGACCCTGTCCGATCAGTATCCGTGGGGTAGAACACAACCTCAAAGCTGCCAATTAAAAGGGCGAGGAGACAAGATCAAGACACAACAAGACATTGGGGATGGCAAATTGACCTTAAATTATAACAAGGTAAGAAAGTTTCTAAAGCATGGGAAAAGAGACTAATCGCCGTAAAGAGCATTTCAGGAGGAGATCATTAAAAACCTGAAATGTTTTGGTCACATACGCCCGTCCTTTTGAAGTGATCTCAGTCAGCCACTTGTCCAGGTTGGCCTCTGACTTCTTGTTAGTGAGATCGTGTACCAGAATAACACCGTGGATATTGTCGTAGAAGACGGAGCGGGTGTTGGCATGACTTGCCGGGCCCCCAATGTCCCAGAATTCAACAAAGTATCGTTCCTCGTCGGCCGTCCTCGATTGCCCAATTCGGCTACCAACATCGCCAACGCATCTGGGCCGTGGAAAAATCTTTAGGAGAAGAGGAAGCTATTAAAAGTAGGAACGCTAAACTCCGACCGATTTCGCGAGGATTATCCTTTTGTGATAGGCTAAAATAAAGTAAAGACCGTCTGCAAAGGACTTTGACTGTTCTCCAAAACTGATGCATTTTCGAAAAAAACCTCTAGGGGACAGATGAAGGGGCATAATGGTAAACTACCGGAATGGTGTCAAAATCAACCTTCCATAGAATACAACCAATGAACGAGATTGGAAAGTGGTAGGAACTGACAGCAGGAAAGGGCTAAGTTAATCTGACCAGTCTTCCATGACTAAACCTCCATGCTCATGGCACAGAGCCCTGCTCAAACAACATATTCTACTTCAATGATATCACGTTCCTTCTATACGCTTACAATAAAGCCAATCTTTAAACTCCTACGCATCAAAATGACATCGGACACAGGTTAGTGATATAAAGACAATAGAAATGTACGCACGATGGAATAAAGTTCAAGAATGTGTCACAGAACTGAGTACCAAAGGAAAAAACGGTTATAAAAATGAGGTGACAAATGCATTTCAGAAAAAAAAAGTTTGAAATTTATGCCAAAGGACAGAAATGAAAACACCCTAGCATTTTAAAGCAGAAAGATATGCTAAAACACCCTAATAATGAACTATACCACAAAGGACTTGTATATTTTAAGAGGTAACAAAAATGTACGCTGATCAAATGAGCCTTAGCAACGAAAGCGGGACTCGCCTATTAGCACAGAGGCTTTAGCAAAAAAATCCTGTAGGAAAACGAAACCTGTGAGATCTCCATCGAAATTACACAAGAATAACTACTCAAACACGAGTATAAACTTAAAAAAGTTGATCGATCCGTACCAATAACTCAACACTACACCCGATTGTCCACGAGGGATTGGGAAGTGTTTCTTCATAGCAGAGTAAATGGACAAAAGCGGTTTTACCGACGCCCGAGTCCCCAGCAACAACGACTTTTAACCTGTCATAGTCACTCATCTGCTAAAGGAATAAAAAATTACAGCATATGAGTCACAATTCCGGATTAAGAAAAAAAGCAGGCCCAATAAATCCTTTAATCACGCGTAGCTAATCCATAGAAATCAGATTCAAGGAGGAAGTTGTTGTGCCGATTATGCGACTTCAAAGATAAGAGATTTAGTTACTACGGCTAAAATGGAGCAAAAACTACGGCCAAGAACACGAACTACTCCACACCGAACAAAGAACCGAAGTGAAATACTGCTAACCCGTTTAACACACTGATTTAAAGGCCGCTGCTTTTGGCTTAAAAGTGACACCTTTAAAAATAGGTTTGTGTTATTGATTGACCAATATTAAGCATAAGCAACTATTTGCTATGGGAAAGCGCAGCCAAAACTGGCAGTACAATTAAAGATTTTCTTAAATCTTTTTTCTTAGGGGTTAAGATGAAAAAAATCATATTTATTGCATTTCAAATCTGTAGAAGTAAAAATATGTTTTGCCGTCCTATTACGATTAATCTCACAGGATTTCCCGGTTTGACTCCTGTTCTTTTTGACCTGTATTTCCACTCCTCATGGTATGTTGATTTTCGTTGCGAATGAGTGGTTTGTGTTAGATTTGTAGTAAGCTACCTTTTTTGGTTCTTTCTTATATTCAGTGAGTTTGTATCAGCCCTATTTACTCCAATATCTTTGTCAACTGCTAGAATCTTGGTTTTGTTTTTTTTTTTCGGTGTTGAGCATTTTTATGGGTGCTTTCTACATTATTCACGATCATGGTACGCTTATTGCTTTAGAACGACTTTTCTTTTGTGCCATATGAGTGGTTTATCGTATGTTCACGGGCGTTGTAGGTTATGTCATGCCGCGTCGATATACTTCTTCGGCTCACAATGCCCCATCTCACAATAATGATACAACCCCTCTTATTAACGAATCTCAGACCCCTTTACACCACTCTACGGTGAGGACTTGAAGATTCAAATCTGCTGCTTGAAAGTCATTTGAATAATACTCGGGACATTTTCGTTGCTAGCTGTCCAATGTTCAACCGGAGCTGAACACAACAAGTGCTGACACCAATGAAGTCTCGTGTCTGCGCACGGAACTCTCCTTCTTTTTTCTTTCTTCTGTGCAACGTTGGAAATTAACTGGCGATATCTCCTTCTCAATGCTGGTTCAATTTCTCAAAATTGTCATCGTCACTTTTCAGGTATGTGATTCAATTCAAAAACTGGGCGACACCTAGAAAGCGTGTGGACTTGAGTATCTTTTCCAGGGAACGAAAGGGTAGAAGGGGTTTAGCTGAATATTCTTAAGTGCACATCGCCAGAAATTAACAAATGAGTGTTCGATAACTAGTCGATTTATCCGCTGTCTTGTCCCCCGTTTCGGTGTATGGACGGACTTGTTGGTCAGGGAGTGATTAGACGCGTTTATGTACAGTTGAGGTTTGATGAATTGAAGAATAGGTAAATGGGTGCTTGGACGGTTGGCTGGACAAATTAAATGAAGGGTGGATTGATATACCGATTGGCAAACGGCTAGATGTATGGGTGAATGATTGAATGAATAGATAATTCAGTTGCCTTCAGAGGTTGAGTCGTTTAAATTAATCATTTTCTTTACTTTTCGATCATACTGGTGTATATTCCACACTTACTAGACGTCTATGACCATTGGGCTAGAGATATTTAGTGTTCATTTCATTAGACAGCTTTCTTATCAAGCTATTTTGTGATAGTGTTGGATAATGAACTCTAAACGTTTCTTTTATGTTTAATCTTACCCCGAGTTTTGGAATTAGCGCTCATTATATGCTTTGACAAAGGGAGGTTTTATCATTGTTCCGTAGTTTGTTAGGTCCTCGGCACCGCCTTACCTGAAATGGAGGTGTTTTGGTGGAGGAAATGGGGATATTGGGACGGAAACGGACCCATAATAGGCCTAAATGAACCTCGGAATGTATGTCTTTTCCTAGCTATAAAATCGAATTCCCAAATCTTTTGTATCATTGGATGCAGTGAATGACTTACAGATAGGCGCGTTTCATACTTTTTTGTTGTCTGACTGTAACTCCCTTCGGAGTGCCGATTTTTAAGGACTACTGGGACTTTTTCAGTGCGCTCCCCTCTCGGAAGCCTATTTTAGAGGAATGGCGGTCGAAATGGTTCTGATATTTTATTATTAGTCACTTGCATCCCCTTCGTATACAATTGTAACGCATGTACATGACGTGTGGGCTCTTGGAGTAAATACTGAGTGTCACGCCTCCGCGGCGCTGACGGCAGATGTGTTAAACAATATTTGTGACGATGAATTCTCTACTGTCTCCAGGTATTTGACGGGAAGCCGTAGCTTTTTTGCGAAGAAAATCAAATGTTTAACCGCGAAACAGTTCTTTGATTAATCAATTTAGAAGGATGTAAAGGCATTTTGTATTTTTTGGTTCAACTAATATCCATTTGTTATTCGGTTATGAAAAAGAGTTAGAGGATCACTTTGTTATTGTTTCCTTTTTTTATCACTTCAGTCTAAATCTGCACTTAGTCATTTGATTAACCAATCTTGCCTAATGGGCAAGCTGTCAAGCACCTATTTGCTCGGCCATAAAAATGAAATGGTAAACAATCTCATTTTTACTACTATTTAATCATGACAGAGAAAGTAATCAACTCACCTGTTGAGGAACTTGTGATGTTTCAGTTTTTATTCAGAGATACGGATTAGCAGCCCCATTCTCGATTACCTTTGATCACAGAAAACAAGTCGCGAATCAGTAATTTTCAGGGACCACAGAACCGAGCGCAATTCTTCTGCTTTCGCGACAATGCCAATGGAAAAGGGATCGTACTATCCCTGTTTCTCTCTAACATTAGCATTGAAAGTCGATTCTCAGGCAAATGAAGGTGTGAGGGCTGGTCTTTAACCCTGTGGCAAATGTCCAGATTTGGAAAAGTGCGTAAAGTGGGAGTTACCTAGTCCCAAATCTTCCTGATAGCATAAGTTGATGGCACTCTGACTCTAAAGACAAGTGGTTGGCGGTGTTTCATCACTGCTGGTAAAATAGGGGACGAAGGGGCAAATCGTCTTGTTTTCGCTCCTTTTTAATCAGCCTTGTCCTCCCATTCTCACCTAGCTCATCCTATTTGGCACGCTCTCATCGACTCGGGTGAGTTATGGGGAACGAGCACAGGTGGCATTCAGGCACCTCTACTTTCGTGGGTGGGACCCACAATATGAGACGCTACCCTATCCACCCAGCACCGGGGTCTACGGCTTCTACACTCGAGACGAGTTTTACGAGGCTCTGAGTTTTGCTTTGCGACGGGTTGGTGCAGTCTTGTTCTCATAACTTTTTGATTAAGCACTCATTAATCCATTCCGTATTCATCCGTCCTGTGTCCACTCATCCTGTATCCATCCACCCATTCTCTATCCATCCTGTATCCATCCATCCATTCATCCATTCTGTATACATCTATCCATCCTCTATCCATCCTGTATCTATCCTGTATCCATCCATCCTGTATCACTCAATCCATCCATCCATTCTGTATCCATCCATCCTGTATCACTCAATCCATCTATCCATTCATCCATCCTGTGTCTATCCTGTATCACTCAATCCATCCATCCAT